CAGACTTACTCGATAAATTAGGTAAATGCCAATATTTTACGACACTCGATTTAGCAAGCGGATTTCACCAAATCGAGGTGAATGAAAAGGACATTGAAAAAACAGCATTTACGTATGCCATTTGGAATCAAAAATGGGCCTGCGACTTTCCAGAGAATTATGGACAATATTCTTAGAGGTATCCAGAATGAAAAATGTTTGGTATACCTCGACGATATAATAATATTTTCGACATCCTTACAAGAACACTTGGAACGACTAAGATCAGTCTTTCTGAGACTCAGAGAATCAAATTTTAAGATCCAGTTAGACAAATCGGAATTTCTGTGTAAGGAAGTAGCATATTTAGGCCATATTGTTACTCCACAGGGTGTTAAACCGAACCCAGACAAAATTGAAGCCATAAAAAACTATTCTCTTCCAAAAACTACCAAAGAAATAAAAGGTTTCTTGGGGTTGCTAGGATATTATCGCAAATTCATCAATAATTTTTCCAATTTAACAAAACCCCTCACTAAATGCCTCAAAAAAGGATCGAAAATTGAACATGATGACGAATTTTTATCCTGTTTTGAAACATGTAGAAATCTTCTCTTGAACGAACCTATATTACAATTTCCTGATTCCACAAAAACATTCAATTTGACCACAGATGCTAGCAACGTAGCCCTTGGAGCGGTTCTATCCCAAGGTCCCATTGGACGTGACTTACCCGTTGCATATGCCTCGCGAACACTCAATGATTCTGAAAGGAATTACTCAGTCATTGAAAAAGAGTTGTTGACTATCTTCTGGGCAACAAAATATTTTCGACCGTACCTTTTTGGACGCAAATTTAATATAGTTACCGACCATAAACCGCTTCAGTGGATTTTTTCAATGAAGGACCCTAATTCAAAATTACTCCGATGGCGAATTAAATTGGAAGAATATGATTATAATATTATATACAAAACAAACAAACTTAACACTAACGTTGATGCCTTATCTCGTATCGAAATTCACACAAAAATCGTTAATGAATCGAATGAAATTTCACAGGATGTCGAACACGTCAATATTTCCACACTTGTACAACCTGATGAAGAAAATCTCGAAACTAGCGACCTTACAATACATTCTAATTCTGAACAAAACCCAATCGTTGAAATTCCTATATCAAAATCACCAATAAATCACGGCCAAAATCAAATAATAATACCTACAATTCTACATAGTCCAGCAAAACCAAAAATAACTATTTTATTCGAAAAAAAAAGAGAGTGTCAGTTCAAATTTCATTGAATAATTTCGATGACGATATTGTGAAGTTTATAAAAGATTACGTTCTTCCCGATCAACAATATCATTTATATTTTGAGGATCCTGGTATCTACGAGAAATTTTCAGTAGTAATTCAAAAATTCTTCAAGTGGCCTTCAATCAAACTCAAACGGTGTTTAACGAAATTGATTGACGTGACAAACAAAGACGATATTCCAGAAATCATAAAAAATTACCACGAAGGTAAAACAAACCACCGTGGTATTGATGAAACGGAACAAAGACTAAAATCAAAATACTACTGGCCCTATTTAAAAAACTCAGTTCAGAGCTATATCAATGAATGTCAGATTTGCCAACAAAGCAAATATGAAAGAAACTTGATACGGATGAAAATGAATATGACACCAACAGCAACTTGTCCATTCGAAACTGTTCACATCGACACATTCACCTTTGAGCAGTCTAAATTTATTACAAGAATTGATAGTTTTTCCAAATATGCACAAGCTTATCAACTGAAATCCCTATGTGCAACAGAAATTGTTGACAACCTTCTTATGTTCTTTTCTCATCATGGAGTACCATTGAAAATAGTTTTGGACAATGGAACAAAATTCAAAAATTCGGTAGTTCTGGAACTCCTAAAACTTCACAAAATCGATGTTCACTTTTGTTCCCCATATCACCCACAATCAAATGGTATGATTGAAAGATTACACTCTACCTTGGCCGAACAAATTCGTCTACTCAATACGAAAGGATTTCAAAAAACTTCAATAAAAACAAAAATCATTTATGCCTTGCTTGCTCATAATCATTCGATACACTCATCCACTAAATTGAAACCTATTGATATTGTTGGAGGTCACATAAAAGATGAAAATCCATTCAATATGAATATTGATCAGATTATTGTCAATGATTATATCATAAATCATAGAGAGAACTCAAAATTATTATTTGCAGAAATAAATGAAAATTTAATGAGGAATAAAGAAAAGTTAATCGAAAAAATCAACATAAATCGCGATAGTCCCAATATCTTTCAACCTCACCAAAATGTCTTTATCAAAAATCATATCCATCAGAAAAACGCAAATAAATTCAAAAAAGCAATTCAGATTGACCAGGTTAATGAAGCACAAAAAACCGTTTCGACCGCGTTACAAAGAAAAAATCATATGGATAACATAAAAAGGCTTCCAAGAAAACATATTCATTTAGTAATTAGGAAATATAATTTCAGATTCCCTGTCGTGCTCGAACTTCAGGAGGAAAAGATCACACTTCAAAACCTTCAGAACAACCCAGGACTCATCCCCCTCAAACTAGGATACGCGAAAATAGAACAATATAGCCACACATTTTTGCACTACTATGACTTGAACCCGATTATTATTGAACTCAACAAACTACATATACAATCTGAGACCCTGACAAATCACGTTCTCAAAAATCCTAGCTATAGAATCAAAAGAGGGCTAATTAATGGCTTAGGGTCGATTTTCAAATCAATCTCTGGGAATTTAGATGCAACTGACGGAAAACGTTATGAAAAATTAATCAACAACCTTCAGCTGAACCAAAAAAAATTGGCATCCAATATTGAAATACAAAATTCATTATCAATTCAAATGATAACGAAATTCAATTCGACTATTCAGCAAATAGGACATAATGAAAAGTTGTTGGAGTCTAAAATCAATCAAATTGCATCAATTGTTGAGGGTAGCGTATTCAGAGAAAATTCAATATTCATCAAAGACATCATGAACCAAATAATCAATATGTATCAAGTTATAAATTCAATATTGCAAGATATCGAGAATTCTATCACATTTGCAAGACTTGGAACAATGCATCCGAGTATCATGAACACTAAGGAACTTTTTCGAGAACTTCAGATGTTACAGCTGATTTTAAAAAAAAGAACAATAATTGCCTTTCGAGATCACATTCGAAAACACATTTCTTCTCGAAAATCTGGTCAAAGTTGAATGTTTCAATTTAAATGATAGAATAACATATATTCTCCAAATTCCAATAATGCACCCTTTCAATTTTGATATTTACCACCTTCATCCTATTCTCATAAGAGCAAAGAGTCAGTTCAAGATTATCATTCCACGAAATAGATTTTTACTCAAAAATGAATTATACTATGCATTCATAAGCGACCTCTGTATTGATATTGGATCACAAAAGTATATCTGCACTTCAGTAGAAATTAAGGAAATTACCGAAGATAACCCTCGCGAAATACAGCTACTCAACTTGAAGAACACCTCCGGTTGTCAACAAGCCCAAATCAAGGTGACGAGGCCAATATATGACCATCTGGATAAATCTAATCAATGGATTGTCATAATGCCCTATGAAGTTATTATAAAATTGAAGTGCAATTCACAAGAGGAAATACAAAAATTGTCTGGTACTTTCCTCGTAGAAATTCCAAGCGGATGTCAGCTGATCACCGATGAAGAAGTAATCATCAATAGGAAAGGAATTGCGTATATCAGCAAACCCGTATTGTTTCCCGACCTTGACGTCTCTACCGATCCCAAGCCTCCAGTGAACTTAGGCGTCCAGCTAGACGACATGAAACTTGATGACCTACACATGCTGAAAAGACAAATTCTTGATAACCAACCGAATTTGCAAATTGACGAGATACCACATGTTCCAAGCATATGGACCATTTTGATCTATGTTATGCTTTTTGGAATCGTCAGCACAATTTTGTATAAAAAACTTATCAAACGACGACAACCTTCAGCACCAGAAGAAATCATCAAGAAAGGATTGAACTTTCATCGGTCCAACTACCTCGCTGACACTGCATAGTTGAATCTTTGGGAGAAGGTGTTATATCATCACTGTGATAGGACATTGCCACTTTGGTGTACATCTACTTCGACAGAAACAAGACGCTGTTAAAAGGTGTCGTCTTCAGACAATACGGGAAACCGTGCACTGAATATTCTAGGAATCACCTTTCAGTTATAATTTCATTCTCTTTCCCACATTCTGTGGATAGTCAAGATACATTCTGTAACGTTTATCCTTACCTCAGTCTAAATAAGTTACAGCTCCGGCAGCTGTTCGTCTTGGCGAGCAAGGTGAGGGTAAGGATTATGTAATTTTTTGAAACCAAATAAATACTGGTAAATTAGTCAGGGCGCCACTTGGCTCTTTAGAGTTATAAATTTACTTCTTAGTATCAGATTCTGAGTGATGAAAAGCCAAGAAACATTACTCAATACTACACTAACAAGAATAATGAAGAAGTATGAACTTTTATAGGATTTACCTTGCAATTCTGTGAGTATCTAAAGAAATTAAACACCAAATAACGGACAAACATTTAATACAATAATCAGAAAACCACCGGTGACAAAAAGAATGATTGGGAAGTTGTACACTGATGTGATAAGTACATTATTCTAATAAGCATATCATTTTTTTTTTTTTTTGTGAGGTAACTACCTAAGAGAGGTGCAGAATCATAAAGTGAATGTTGGAAAAGTTACGAAACATCCGCGCCACTCAGTATACTGTGTGTTATTCTACTTTCGGATGAGTATGATTAAATGACTATGATCGCGAACATGTCAATTTCCGGCGCGAAAATTTAGGTAATTACCTTATATCTCAACAAACAAGAAATATATACTTAGATCTCGCGTAAGGAATTTGTGACGGTATAAATGCGCATATAACTTCCCTGGTTAGATATGAAGAAAGGTTCCCCAGGTGAAGAATCCCTCTGGGTTTTGTCTAAGGTGATTTTCCAACAGGAACCAGCGATGGAGAGCCAGTTTTGGGGAAGAAAGATTTCCCCGACCCTAGGCAGAGTTGGAGAGGCCAACCCCCTCTCGGCATTCCATTTCCAAAGAAGAGAAGAAAGTATGTGGGATAGGGTGTGCTCGTAACTACCACGTACAACCCTGGAATACAAAGAAAGAAACCTGTGACCTAATATCCTTATAAGAAGAGGTGGTCAACCAACTTACCCCACGTAGGAGGGTTGACTTGAAGTTCACCAATTTCCTGCTTTTCCGCCAGTAGGTCAGCGGTCCAGGTTTAGCTCATCAGCATGTCTTCATCAGCAAGAATATTCCACAATATGTCGGCCGTGTATTCCCCAGGTGTTCGGTGCCTCGGACACCGTTTGGACATATAAGTCCAGAAACTTTCGTCTTTCGCGACACAAAACTACTTGTCCAAATCGCGTGTTGCTAACACAACCGAACAAGATCTCCTATGGCACAAATCCACAACGAAGTGATTAGGTAAAACGAAAATACGAACTGGATGACCAACAGAACAGTTCGTCTTTTTTGAAATTTCTCCTATCAAAAAGCCGGTAGTATTGACCTCTTATCTCCTTTTATCACCTCGGTGTCCCTTCTTAGAGAAAATCTTGGCCAATCAACCTGAATTCTGAGATCGATCGGGAAAAATCGGCAGGTGCTCCGATGAGGTGACACCAGCGCCTTTCGCGAATTTGGAGTTGAACTTCCTTACCACCAAAGGGAAATGCCAAGTAATTGGGGAAAATTTTTACAGATATATATAGGAGATGATCGATAATTGAGAGGTAACGGTGACGTTACGTCTCACTTTCTCGAGAAGCAACAGGTGATTTCGGATCTCAACCATATTTCTCTCTTCTTTATTTCGGCAACTAGACAACCAGTAATTCGCGCTACCACATCTTGGGTTTCCAGCTAATTATTTAGAATTTCGTGTCGATTTGACGAGATAGTGGGAGGTATAATCCTTGACAAGTTTATAATCGGTAATTGAAAACATCTCTAGGCGCGTCGCGAATCATGTACAGGGTGTTGTAAATTTGATCATTCGATCATTCCGCGCTAACACAACTCGCTTACCAGAGATTGCAATTTTTGATATGTTTCATCACCCCTTTTTAATGAAAAAAAAATAGACGAAGAAGTTGGCTATTTGTTTTCCTTTTCACTACCTAAAACTACACTGATTAAGTACTAGCTAATTTGATTCAAGTTTTGAAATGTTACACCACCCCATTTCAATAGTAAAAAAAATAGACAAAGAAGTTGGCTATTTTTTTTTTTTTTTTTTTTTTTTTTTTTTTTTTTAACTACCTCTATGAGTAGAATTAATTATTAGCTTATTTCAATAGCACCTTACTACACCTAATACGCCCTATGTCGCAAATATAGTTCAAACTATTCTAGAAGTAATTAATCCCATTTATATATATACAGTCCTGCGTTTTTTAGTAACTTCGCGTACCACACGCCAATGGAAAAATTGGAGACAAAATTGAGTACAGTCGGCAATCAGGGAAAATGTCGCAAACGGGTAGGGTCAAAATCGGTATATCTCACCACAGGCACAAAAAAAAGGATATGTACTCGTACTTCTAGAACTACACGGACAAAATAAAAAATGGGTTCTATAATGTCGGTGAGGAATCAAAAGAATATGCTATCTTGTTTATTTACAAGGTAGGTCGACCTAACATACTAGTTATCGATCTTATAATTACCTAATTTACATGTCAGTTAATATGTACACAAAGACCGGAAGGTTATTATAGTTTAACCTACAGATATGTCGGAATTAGAACCAACATATAACTTCAAGTCTTTCACATGCCAATCACCGCCCGGCGACCCGTCAGCATTTTTCAAAGTATAAACAAGTTTCGAAACTTTTTTTTCGATTGTGCAAAGCACATATTTTGGCGCTAACTTAGCTGTGAACTTCGAAGAGGCGACGGATTGCACTTTATTACGGCGCCACACTTTCTCTCCTACTTCAAAAGAAATATCTCTCTTCCGCAGATTGTAATGTGTCGCATTCTTCTCATACGACTTGTGCAGTTTACTTCGGACTTCCCTGAAAATCTCAGTCAATGAACTTAATTGGGAAGCGTATGCATCTCTATCACCTGGCAAAATTTCAGTATCTTCTGTCGATTGAACAATCCCATAATAATCTCCCGATAATGGAACGTGTCTAGCAAAATTTAAAAAACAGGGTGAAAATCCTGTCACCTCGTGTTTTGCTGTATTGATAGCATGTGCGATTTTCGGCAATTCCACATCCCACTCGGTATGTTCATTTACGTAACAACGGATGGTAGTACCTATAGTTCTATTTATGCGTTCAACGAAATTACATTGTGGGTGGTACCTCGCGTTATACCAAATTTTTTGAACGTTATAACGATTCGCTAAATTTTTAAAATAGGAACCTGCGAATTGAACTCCATTATCTACGATGATGTACTGCGGAACTCCAAAAGTTAGAAAAACTTCGTTTTCAATGAATTTGCACACGTTTTGGGCTGTAGCCTTCCTCATTGGACATAGGAGAGTGTATTTAGTTAACCAATCTGCAACTACCAACAGGTAGCAATTTCCCTTTTTGGAACGCGGAAACGGACCCATCAAATCAGCTGCTATAATTTGCCACGGAAAATCTACAGATTTTTCGGCTCCCATCAATCCCATACGAGGGGTAGTCGATATCTTCTGTGAACCACAGACCTTGCAGGACCTAACGTATTTCAGAACATCCTGTCTCATTTTTGGCCAATAAAAAAACTCTTTAATTCTTTGCATAGTCTTATAGAACCCGAAATGACCACTCGTAGGAGGATCATGCGCTGATTGGATTATATTAACCCTTTCAGGTTTGGGAATTAATCGCTTCCAATCGGTTACGTTAGTACCTGCGAATTTTTTTGTGGAAATCGATTTAAAAACATTTCCTTCTTTTATTTTCCACTGTGGAAACAGTTCTGGATTTTTCTGGATTTTTTTCATTAATGTTTGATACCACTGGTCGGAGTTATTTGGCGTAGAGCTGACAGCAGCAATCTCTCTATCATCTGCTGCTTCACTATTATTAGAGTAAATTCTAGATAGAGCATCCGGGACAACGTTCGAGGTTCCCTTTCGGTGTTTTAGCTCGAAATTATACTGACGGAGTTTTACGGCCCATCTTGCCAGTTTTCCAGTGGGATTTTTCAAGTTATTTAGCCAAAGGAGTGAATAATGATCTGTCTCAATAGTGAACTTTGATCCTTCTACGTACATACGGAATTTTTCAATGCTGAAGATTACCGCCATTAACTCGCGTTGTGTTACCGTCCAATTTCTCTCAGTACGCGATAGAGATCTACTCGCGTATGCTATAACTCTCTCTTCTTCATTGATTATTTGTATCAAGACGCCACCGACACCCGTGTCACTGGCGTCACACTGAATTGTGAAAGGTTTCGAAAAATCTGGACTACAGAGAATAGGAGAAGAAACCAGAGCCTGTTTAATACTTATGAACGATTCCTCCGCTTCACTCGTCCAGTGTATAGGCTGATTTTTCTTTCGTCCAGTGAGCAGAGCATTAAGAGGCGCAACTAGGGTTGAAAAATGATTGATGAATCGTCTGTACCACGAGCAGAGCCCCAAAAAGCGTTTTACTTCAGTACTGGTTGTAGGCCTAGGGTAATTAACCATGACGGTGACTTTGTCGGTATCCGTACGAATGCCGTTAGAATCAATAACAAAACCAAGATATTTTAGGGAGGGTTTCAGAAATTCGCATTTTTTTAGGTTAACTGTCAACTTTGCGTCCGCCAAACGGTTTTTGACCTCGGATAACAAAGATAGATGTTCTTCCAGGGTAGCTGAGACCACGATAATGTCATCTAGGTAAGTAAAAATATTTGGCTCATATTTTGGGCCAAAAATAGTATCTATCAGACGACACAACGTTTGAGCTGAATTTACCAAACCAAAAGGTACTACAGTGAAATGGAAGAGCCCTCTTCCTACAACACTAAAGGCTGTTTTCTCGCGGGACGCTTGATCCAGAGGAATTTGCCAGAAGGCTTTTCGTAAATCGATTGACGAAATGAACTTGGCATTTCTCAACATACTCAAAATTCTATCAACTCTCGGCAAGGGGTAGCTATCATGCTTAGTGAGTTCGTTTAATTTTCGGCCATCAAAACAAAACCTCATTTCTCCATTGGATTTTTTCACTAATAAAACGGGAGAACACCACTCACTTTGGCTAGGCTCTACTACACCTAACTTGAGCATGTCATCCAGTTCCTCATTCAAAATTTTGAGCATGTAGGGAGACATAGCATATTGCCTTTGTCTAACAGGGCGCGCTTCGCCTGTCTCTATAGTCATACTAATTTTATCGGTACGTCCGAGCCTGTCGACACCGCTTATTTGACTAAAAGAACTAATAACATTGTCCACTTGTCTGCGTTGATCGGGAGAGACAGAATCTAATGTGCATAAATTTCGAGGCAAATCCGGAATACCGAAATCTGAAATATCCACTTTACATTTACTAAGGTCACTCTGTATATCCCAACAATTCTGTTTGAAGTCCATACGAATAAGAAATTGTCTCGCGAAATCGCTTCCGAAAATAAAAGGCTGTGTGATGGAGGGCACTACTAGAGCTTTAACAATCTGGCACGCTTTACCTATGCAGATGGGCAAATCGACAAATCCTGAGACAGGGTTATTGGTACCATCCGCGGTGGTAATGTTTTTGATCCCATAGCTATTCGTAGTTTTCTTGAGCCCTAGCTTTTCGATAAACTCGATTCCATCGGCGCCTATCAAACTTACAGTCGATCCAGAATCCAAAAGTACGGTGATAGACTGATCGACTAGCTTCACTGAAATATATGGCCTATTATCGTTTTCGACCTTGGCAAAAACCGGCGCAACTTGATTTCGACAATTCAAAACTCTGAAATTTTTATAAAAATCACTAACATAATTCAACCAAGATTTCCAACGATCCTGTTTTTGAAAAATTTCTAAACCGGAATTTCCCGAACCGACCTCAAATGTAACCAGGGGAGTTCTTCGGCCGCTAAGATCACCCCTGCAACTTAGTTTTTCGAATTTCCGGAATTCTTGGTACATTTAGTACAATCTCTAGTAGTCACGTTTTGTTCACCACATTTGAAACAAAATTTATTCCTTTTCATAGTACAGTTATGAAAAGTATGGTTAGGAAAACGGCAATTCCAACAAATCAAAGCTTTAGGATCACTACTGCTACTACCGTTCACGTTAGAGGATATTTCCGGTTGAACATTATGCGAAGTTTGTCCCGGGGAATTGAATCTATTAGAGAAAGTTCGGTTGTTAGAGTATGAACTTCTTCTATCTTGAAATCTTGAATTATTATTCCTAGGTTTATAACTGAATCTGGAATCTCGAAAATTATTATTTCTGTTCTTATAATGAGCGCTATAACGAGCATCAGATGTTTTTGAACTACTAGCTTGCATTTCCGCGACATTGACATTTTTAGTATTACCTTCACGGCATGAACAATTATACACCTCAAACGATTTATTTTTGGAAGTTGATGGGGTGGTCGCTTTAAATTTCAAATAATTCGCCTCTTCTAAACGTTTACATAACTTAACCAAATCGGCAACACTGTCTATGTCTGTCAGAGCTAAATGGGCAATATAATCAGGTAACAAGTTTTTTCTAATCGTTCTTACTTTAGTAGTTTCATGAGGAGGACGACTAAGTCGATTAAACAAGTTTTCCATAACTGCTGAGAAAATAACAATTGATTCGTTCTTTCCTTGTTTACGCGATTTAATTGTATCCCAAATATCATCTTCTACATGCGGAGGCAAGAAGTCTGTCTTCATTTTAAACACCAGGGAATCCCAATCAGATAAACTACTTTTTACCTGCATGAACCATAAAAACGCATCACCTGTAAAAAGTTCGGCCGCCGCTTTAAATAGATCCGCCTTATCCAAACCTCGCGCTTGCGAAAATTCGGAAATCTTGTCAAGGAACGTATGAAGTTCTTTCGGGTCACCGCTGAATTTTATACCCCAATCCGAAATTGGTGCTTGTCTGGTATTATATGTAACCACTGGTGGGGGAATATTGATAACAGGTTGCATCATAGATTGAGATGAACCAGGATCCGTAACTGTAGGGATTGTAAGTCTATCTTCTAAGTCAGCTTCAAGAATATAACAGGTGGCTAATGATTCGTTTTTAAAAGCAGTAGTCTCCGCCAAATTATCAGCAGGAGTCGGCATTCTTTTGATTCGCCCAGTAATATGAGCGATTCGCGATTTCAAACGTTTATATAACGAATCTTGCGATGTGCCCTCAAATTCGAGTACTGAGGCTTGAATGGAGTTCAAAGTCGTTTCGATTGCAGTTTTTTCAGTAGGAAAATCGAAACGGTAGAGATTCATTGCAATATGACTTCCTGGGTTATTTTTTTCTTTTTCCAATATACGACCTAAAATTTTCCTCCTGTCATCCTGAGATTTGGATGTTATTATACCTCTTATAAGGAGTTCATAATTCAGTTCATCAAACAGTAAGTGTACTGGTTTGAAAGTGTCTTCCATTTTGAAAATTTATTGAAATCAAATTGTAATTGATAATTTTTTAAACTAGCATTGAAGAGAATTATAATTGAGATCAAAAACCAGCCGAAATTCCCGCAAAACAATCGATTCAAAGAAGTTTGTAGATATGTGGAAAATTTCTCAACATAAAACAAAAAACTCACTCTAATGTGTATCAGTTGGCCGCTTTCTAACAAAACACCATCATAGGGTCATCCTTATATACCCTGTATGAGGAAAAAAGTACGAACAAATGAAGGAGAAGTGACATGTGACTATATATCTATATATTCGCTTATCCCTTATTCTTAGTCAACCTCCTCAGATAACTATCACAGAAGTACAGGAATTGAATTGCAGTACAAAATTTAAAAAAATATTTTTTTTTTTTTTACACAATCGGGCCCCACGTTGGCAGCGCCACTTGTAACGTTTATCCTTACCTCAGTCTAAATAAGTTACAGCTCCGGCAGCTGTTCGTCTTGGCGAGCAAGGTGAGGGTAAGGATTATGTAATTTTTTGAAACCAAATAAATACTGGTAAATTAGTCAGGGCGCCACTTGGCTCTTTAGAGTTATAAATTTACTTCTTAGTATCAGATTCTGAGTGATGAAAAGCCAAGAAACATTACTCAATACTACACTAACAAGAATAATGAAGAAGTATGAACTTTTATAGGATTTACCTTGCAATTCTGTGAGTATCTAAAGAAATTAAACACCAAATAACGGACAAACATTTAATACAATAATCAGAAAACCACCGGTGACAAAAAGAATGATTGGGAAGTTGTACACTGATGTGATAAGTACATTATTCTAATAAGCATATCATTTTTTTTTTTTTTTTGTGAGGTAACTACCTAAGAGAGGTGCAGAATCATAAAGTGAATGTTGGAAAAGTTACGAAACATCCGCGCCACTCAGTATACTGTGTGTTATTCTACTTTCGGATGAGTATGATTAAATGACTATGATCGCGAACATGTCAATTTCCGGCGCGAAAATTTAGGTAATTACCTTATATCTCAACAAACAAGAAATATATACTTAGATCTCGCGTAAGGAATTTGTGACGGTATAAATGCGCATATAACTTCCCTGGTTAGATATGAAGAAAGGTTCCCCAGGTGAAGAATCCCTCTGGGTTTTGTCTAAGGTGATTTTCCAACAGGAACCAGCGATGGAGAGCCAGTTTTGGGGAAGAAAGATTTCCCCGACCCTAGGCAGAGTTGGAGAGGCCAACCCCCTCTCGGCATTCCATTTCCAAAGAAGAGAAGAAAGTATGTGGGATAGGGTGTGCTCGTAACTACCACGTTCAACCCTGGAGTACAAAGAAAGGAACCTGTGACCTAATATCCTTATAAGAAGAGGTGGTCAACCAACTTACCCCACGTAGGAGGGTTGACTTGAAGTTCACCAATTTCCTGCTTTTCCGCCAGTAGGTCAGCGGTCCAGGTTTAGCTCATCAGCATGTCTTCATCAGCAAGAATATTCCACAATATGTCGGCCGTGTATTCCCCAGGTGTTCGGTGCCTCGGACACCGTTTGGACATATAAGTCCAGAAACTTTCGTCTTTCGCGACACAAAACTACTTGTCCAAATCGCGTGTTGCTAACACAACCGAACAAGATCTCCTATGGCACAAATCCACAACGAAGTGATTAGGTAAAACGAAAATACGAACTGGATGACCAACAGAACAGTTCGTCTTTTTTGAAATTTCTCCTATCAAAAAGCCGGTAGTATTGACCTCTTATCTCCTTTTATCACCTCGGTGTCCCTTCTTAGAGAAAATCTTGGCCAATCAACCTGAATTCTGAGATCGATCGGGAAAAATCGGCAGGTGCTCCGATGAGGTGACACCAGCGCCTTTCGCGAATTTGGAGTTGAACTTCCTTACCACCAAAGGGAAATGCCAAGTAATTGGGGAAAATTGTTACAGATATATATAGGAGATGATCGATAATTGAGAGGTAACGGTGACGTTACGTCTCACTTTCTCGAGAAGCAACAGGTGATTTCGGATCTCAACCATATTTCTCTCTTCTTTATTTCGGCAACTAGACAACCAGTAATTCGCGCTACCACATCTTGGGTTGCCAGCTAATTATTTAGAATTTCGTGTCGATTTGACGAGATAGTGGGAGGTATAATCCTTGACAAGTTTATAATCGGTAATTGAAAACATCTCTAGGCGCGTCGCGAATCATGTACAGGGTGTTGTAAATTTGATCATTCGATCATTCCGCGCTAACACAACTCGCTTACCAGAGATTGCAATTTTTGATATGTTTCATCACCCCTTTTTAATGAAAAAAAAATAGACGAAGAAGTTGGCTATTTGTTTTCCTTTTCACTACCTAAAACTACACTGATTAAGTACTAGCTAATTTGATTCAAGTTTTGAAATGTTACAATTCTTCTTGTAAGACAGTTGCTAAATATATTAAACCATCAATGAAACTCGTACCTTGTGGCATCATATAAGTTATTTCACGCTAGCGCGATGGATATCAACGTCGTCACGTCGCCATCGTGAATAGATGAATTAAAAGAAGCTGTCATCGCTGGGAATTGAACCAGGGACCTTTGCATTACGGGGCAGCGTATATACGCACTGTGGTATTTCGACCTCCGTAATATTTCAATTATTTTAATACCTGGCGCGCGCTTATCTTTGCAACGTATCTGTAGAGGTAGAGCAAAGCGAGAGAAGCGTTCCAGAGATAAGAAACTTCGAGTCGAAAATATTACCAATCGCTGGCGCACGCTTATCTTTGCAACGGATCTGTAGAGGTAAAGCAAAGCAAGAGATGCGTTCTAGAGATAAGACGGTATTATATCGAAATGAATTTATGGTGAAATATTTCTATGTTAGTTTTATCGACAATATACACACAACACCAAATGAAGCTTCCGCCGATAAGAGTCGTGTGCAGCTCATATACGTATTAATAAACAATACGGATCATAACGGGTGCCAGGATGAAGCCAGAAATATGAAACAAATGAATATCCATAAGGATTTGGTGGCATGATACGCATGCGCCATGCGCTATTATAGTAGTCATCAAAGACATGCGTTTCGGTTGACAATGACGTTTACTAGCCTTTCAATCAAAGCAGTATGTGTCTGATCGTTTCAAAACTTTTCCTTATGGATAGTCATTTGTCTTCAAAAATCGGCTTCATGTTTCGCTATGGAAACAGATAGAGATTATCCGTATTGATTAATAATACGTATATGGTGCAGCTATAACCGTCACATTGTTGCCAGACGTTGGAAATTATTATTTATGAAGTCGATAACGTGTTGTCAGATGTTCAAGAAATATCTGATGCCAGGTAATACATGACATATGACGTATGACAGATGGTGTTTGCAATATGATGTATGTGGGGAGTGGAAAAATATGAAAACAATTTTTTATTATACTCAGAATATAGAAACAATAGATAGACTTTTCTGTGTATTCTTCCCTCTTGAACCCTCACACTTGACTGGATGTGTACGAGGAAGAGAGGGAGAGAGAGAAGAGAAGAAGAAGAGAGAGTGAGAAAGAGGGAGAGAAAGAGAGGGAAAGTGATGTAATAGGATGTGAATTGAAGGTATGGACCTGTAAAACAGTTGAATCATGTCTTCTGACGAATACAGACGTGCACTAGAAGAATTTGGTTCGAAGGTTAGACAGCTGAGTGCAGACATCCAATTATATGAGCAGAAAGTTGACCTGTTTAAAGATTTCGAGCAACTGAGCGTTTGGGATAAGGTGTTCACAGAACCGAGACGCACAGCTACACCTACATCGAGAAGAAGAAGAATTCAACCAACACAGCTACTAGATGGCGATACTGAAAGCAAGCTTCATTCTATTGACAGCTCTGAGCAACAACGTCTCCTACACGAACATACCGTACAATACAAGGAATGTAGCCGTATGTTTTGATGTGAATCGTACACAACAATGTGATTGGAAGATGATAACTAGAATGTATGTCAATGATAACAGACTACCTGTATATTCAATCGACATGCCACAACATGTTAATGAAAGCAGCATCGACTACAAATTGAAATTATCGTTTTCTGATGGCAGTGACGGCGAAATGGGAGACTGGCAGACACTTACATTGAAAAAATCCTCCGCAAAATTGGATCAAGATTCTGTCAATATCATTGCAATTTTGACACTTTGTTGTACACTAATATGTTCACTCATTTTAATCTCACATGTTATTTCCATTATACTGAGAAATAAGGAATGTGATGAATAAAAACTCTGAACTGGAATCACGATGTATAGTTTTTTATTTAGGTATTAAATTACATAGCCAATTATATAAAGTATCGACATTGTGAAGACTGCACTGGAACCTTCCTCCATGGAAATGATTCATGCAGGGTGGAATCGATTGTAGGAACGTTATTGGCTGCCACCAAGAATTGTCAAAATCTTCCAAATCAACGATGTGATTGGTCATCTCCAACTCTGCACATTTTCGCTGCAAAAACTGAATCTGTTGATGGCCTCTTACGTAGATGATGTTTGTCTGCTGCAGGTTATCTCGTAGTATTTGATTCAACCCATTCAAATCCACATAACCACTGGAATATTTTAAACCATGAACGTAACGTTCCACATGATTCGCCATTTTTTTATCTTCTTTGTTCAAACTGGAAAACTCTACAGATGGCTTGAATAGAAAATGACTCGTCTTTTTGCCAATGCGGATAGTCATTTCCTTTGGAATGGATTCACCCTCAACCATGAACGCTTGAATGTCAACCAGTGCGATCTCCATGACTCTTCGGAGCAAACTGACGTCTGACTGGTGTGACATCAACACCTAGAACTAGGTGATATTTCGAACAATTTCGCTTAGTGGGAGGTGTTCCAGATGGCGCCTCGAGCAATCGATAGCAAACATTGGTAGGGTTTTGAATTCATTGAAATTCACTAGAGAGCGTTTTTGTTGACAGTTATGATAGCAAATAAATGTGAAAAGCTCACAGTCATTTCCACCCAGTGTTCATAAAAAAAATGAACAACAATGGTAGATTTCGGGAGAAAAACAACTACTTCCCTGGCTAATGCCACGCAGGATATTGAATTACATCCTCCCCTAATCTACCATTGTTGTTCATTTTTTTATGGACACTGGGTGGAAATGACTGTGAGCTTTTCACATTTATTTACTATTTCATTCCACTGTGAGCATTGTGGCTATTTCGTAGTAGTTATGATAGCTCTTGTTGAACTCTGTATAGTTGAAGTAAGCGTCAGCATATTGGTCTTTGGAAAAGTCCAATAGCATTCTCTCTTGCGGATAATAGTCGCTATTCAGAGCCAATCGTATGGATTTGATGTTGGCATTATCGAACAAGGTGACGTCTTCATGCAAATCATCGGCTTTCTTCGTTTAAAAAAATACTATAACATATCTGGGACTCTCTAATGCAGAACACGTCTTGACTGACCAGATTTCTATGGTGGATCCATGTGTGAGTGCAACTTTATGTCATCGTTGGGTGTAAGATGCGGCACTTCCAAATTGATGCTGTCAATCGTTATTTTAGCAGTGCTCTGAGTCTGAGGAGATCCTGGAAAAGCAGTATTAGCTTTCTCGACAACCTTCACACTGTGGGCATCATTACGAGCTCTCACTAAACGGATAGACTGCTTGTTCCACGTTGCCACTTGATGATCGTCAAAGATGGAAAACAAATGTTTCAGTGGAATGTTCATGCAGAACGTTTTATCGGCGTTGAGAATCGGAGCGTTGGGATAGTTCCAGCCTGCTATGGGTAGATGGCGTGAGTCTTCAGGTGTGTAACACAAGTATCCTCGCACAGTACTCGTTATTCCAGGATATCTGACAGTGTCCAATTCTTTATTGTACAATTCATAGGTACAGGAATCAAACAGATAGGCTCCAGCATTGTGAGTTAATGTACCAATACCACCTCCACAATTGTTCACAACCAATTTACCCTTGATGGTAATGATGCCTTCAAACATAGCTAACCACGAATCTGCTTGATTGACTGTAATATCGATGACATCATTGTTTTCGAATGATTTCACATATGGGTAATAGGTGCGAATCTGGGTTTGCGGAAAACGTCGAACACGGGGGCTGACAACATTGTAGCCTTCGAGTGATTTGAGAAACAGGATATTGGATAATGTCAATGATTTTCTGCTCCTGCTCTTCGAAGACACGACTGCTTTGGTGTATGGTGTCGAGGGAACTGATGCTGATGATGGTGATGATGAT